GGGCGCTAGTACACATACACCTACACATGCAGGTTAGTTAGAGGGCGCTAATACACATACACATGCAGGTTAGTTAGAGGGTGCAAGTACACATACACATGCAGGTTAGTTAGAGGGCGCTAGTACACCTACACATGCAGGTTAGTAGAGGGCGCTAGTACATACACATGCAGGTTAGCTAGAGGGCGCTAGTACACATACACATGCAAGTTAGCTAGAGGGCGCTAGTACTCATACACATGCAGGTTAGTTAGAGGGCGCTAGTACACATACACATGCAGGTTAGCTAGAGGGCACGAGTACACATACACATGCAGGTTAGTTAGAGGGCGCTAGTACACATACACATGCAGGTTAGAGGGCGCTAGTACACCTACACATGTAGGTTAGTTAGAGGGCGCTAGTACACCTATCCTCGGGCGGAGCTACGTCACAAGACGTTCTACGTTGCTACGGCGCGCACCACTGTACATGCATTTCTATGGGCTCTGTGCGAGCTGCTGTGGAACGCCAGTCGAGCCAGTGAAAATTCGAGAAAACAATACAAACTCAACTTTGAAGTAATCCCGAACAACCAAATTTATATATGTTACATACGTAGGGCTAATCTTGTTACACTGTTCAGAGGAATCTCAACAATCATCCCAAAGTACCGTTTTCTGCGAGTTTTGGGCCTTTGTTTTATCGTGCACCAGTCAAAGGTTTGAAACAACAGAGGCATAATTTGACCATTGAGGTTTATTGATTTATTCATAAAGAAAATAGAGGGTGCTTTATTCTACCTCAATTTTGATTTGTTTCATATCTGTTACCATATGTTTTTTTTTTTTCCTGAGTCACAACTCATTGCTTTCAACACATTGCTTGTTGAAAATCTCCATAGATAGCCACCAAAATATGTATACGTTCATTGCGAAATTGCGCATTATGCATAAAAAGAAACATGAAAACAGGACGAACAAAGGTCATCAACACTTTGCATAGGATTCAACAAACGTGAATGTACATTTTTGGTATTTCCATGCTTAAAACATGGGTGGTTGTCGCGCAGCCCGTGTTCGAATTTCATGTTAATAGACAATTTTTATTTTACACGTCTTGTATACGTCGCTCCGAGT